ACCTCACGATGGTGGTGGTGGCTTTTCTAGCTAATTTCGATTACACAATATAGCAACAGTGCACATACATACAAAGTAACACACACACCCACACAACCACCACCTTACGGTGGCTTGTGGTGGTAGAAATGATTTCAAGGCATCAACCACCATGGTCGGCGGCCATGGTGGGTTTTTCCTCAATCTCCGGTGAAGCAAACACACCCACTCACGTTTTCTGGTTCGTAGATGAGTCCACCCACCCACCTGGTGGCGTTTAATGGACGACAACAACCCATAATGGCAGACAACCGTGGTGCTTGCGGCAGCGGCGAGCCACAATGACAGCAACGATGGTCGTCGTAGCTTCTTAGTGGACATTTCGAGATACCGACAACCATAAGAAGAAGAAGAAGAATGTAACATGGGAGGGGTAGCAACGAACGGTCACAACTGCGTCGGCGGTCTTCACTGGCTTCTTCCCGGTGGCCCTCGATGGCTATTGGAGCGATGACATTGCTAGAAACGACTGTGGCGGCACTAAACGGTCTGACGACCCACCAAACCAACGTCACCTGTAGCTCTTCATTGTTGTTGTGGCTGCACTTGCGGGTAATGACTTCATCGGAGGTGGTGGTGTGCTACCGGAAATCGCAAGTGAAGGTGGCGGCTGGAGGTTATGGTTAGAGAGGATAGCGGTTGCATCGTCCACTAGGGTTAGGGCAACTGGGGATGCGGGTTCATATATCCCGCTCCTAACAAGCTTCCATCCATATTAACAACGTCAGTCCCTCTTTTCCTCCTTTCTTTCAAAATAGGGCCGATATTTACCATATAAACCCTCATAATCATAATCCCTTACAATTTAAGTACATTATTTACTTAACAGCCCTCCGCCTTGAAAATCTTTCCAAAACTAATCCAGGATTTAGCTTTTTAACCCCCGATTCCATAAATCTTTACAATATAACCCAGAATTTACATTTTATCCCTTAGTTCCATAATTCCTTTCATATTGAGTCCTAATTGTTACCCATCAGCCCCTGTCTTCATAAATAATTATAAGTTGAGTCTTAAAATTACACTTTAAACCCCTAATCTCTTAAAGTGTGACAATTAGATCTACGAGTCCATCATTTTGTATATAATTATTTATTTTATGGCTTCTATTTATTTATTTATTTATTTATTTATTAAATAAATAAACAGGGTAATACAATTTTATTACCACCTTCGGTCGCCGCTCTCCTCCAAGAGAGTTGTTGTGGCTGTGTTTTTGTTTCACGTGTGTGTACTATTGCGAGTTTGTGAGGCATGTATGCGTGGCTTGGTTGGCCGGAAAATGAAGAAAACCACTATGTCAGCCAACCATGGTGGTTGTTGTCTTGCTGCCAATTTCTGTCGCCACCAGCTATCGTATAAGGTGGTTGTATGTGTGTAATGTTGTGTGTATGTGTGGTTTTCTACATGGTTGTTGTAGTAGGAGTTATTTGGTCGTATTCTAACTCGAAACTGCCACCATTGTCGTGAGTGGGTAGCTGTCGCCATGAACCGCCGACCACCACCACTGCCTGAGGTGGGAATGGGTGGTGTCTAACTTACTAAGCACTCGATAACCTAAACATCTAATCTTAGACCTAGTGGCACGTGTTTGGGTAGGAAATCCTAACTAGGGTTTAAGAAAACTCTAATATCAGAATCCTTAATTCGGATTTATCGGGACCCGAATTTTGGACAACTGTTTAGACTTACAGACCATATTTGACGATATTATATAATTGCCTTGTTGTGGTGTTGGACTCAATAGATTAAGTCCCTAAGGGGTTAAGTGTGAAACACTAACCCTAGTTATCATTTTATGAGGAAACCCTAGAAACGAGAAGCCCTATTTTATGTGAACCCTATTTGTCATTTCATGTGAGGTAGTCATTGTTGCAAGTGATTGTGACCTGTGATCAAGTATTAACTTAAGTATCTTCCTATAGGTGATTGGAAGTGATTTGAAGCTAGTGGAGTTCTTTGATACTACTGTGGTGACCTACACGCATATCGAGGTGAGTTTCGCCTCACTGTACCCGTGGGTCGAAGACACCCATGTCAGCCTACTAGTTTTGGTTATCTTTTAGTAGAGGGATGCCTAGGGACTGTATGTAGTTATGTAGGATAGAATGAGGACTCTTGATCTAGGCTCTTTTACCTATTTCTTGTTTGGTTATAGTTCTAAAGTAGGATCACCTATTCGAGTGTCTATCTCACCACTGATTATATACGGTCATGCATTCCTTGGATTGTTGATATTTAGTATGTTGTTATGCTTTAGTGATTAGTTTGATCAGTATCCTGGTATCAAGTATGTTGTTATGTTGTGGTGATTTGTTATATATGTATTCTGGTATCAAGTATGTTACATTGTTGTAATGATATGTAGAACTATATGTTATTTGTACTTGTTGGTTATCATCTGGTGCGGTGCCCTAAGGACCGTCTGTGGTCATGTAGGATAGCCTGAGAACTCTTGATCTAGGCTTTCTTGCTTGTTCCTTATTGGTTGTGGCTCTATAGTAGGATCATCTGTTCGGGTGGCTATCTCCCCTCCAATTATTTATAGTTATGTATTTCATGGAGTTTAGCTGGTAGTAGGACTATATGCTGTGAGAGGACTAGTAGGCGGTAATGAGTTGTATGATTGATTTTTGCATGTAATATGTGCCTACTTGATCCTTGATTGTTTATATGTCGACATGTTGTGTTATGGAGGCTCGAGATGAGCGGTTGGGTTGAGGAGATAAGGGCAACAAACCTGATACAGTTGGGCATTTCAGCCCGATGACTGATTGGGCCGATGTTCGTTCTAATTGTTTGGTTATGTGTGGTATTTTGGGGGAAACTCACTATGCTTTATGCTTACTGGTTATCAGGGGAAGACGAATGCATGACTATACACATTCATCTGCAATAATGAAGATTCTGCACTTTAATGTTGCTTTGATATTTTTTTATAAATGTATTTTAAATAAATAGTTTTCTCTATAGCGAATTTATAATTGGGAAGATTTACTTAAATAAAAATGTAAATTTTTTGTTATGAAAATGAGACCTTACATTACTCACACAATTCCTCTCTCATTTTATTTACAATCAAACACTTGTTATGCTTGAACTTTCAAAACCAATGGTTCCCAAAATTATGAACTGGTTAGAAGAGGAAGATGAGAACTTAACACTAATATGAGTGATGGTTTCATAATAGCTAGATACTCGAATGCTTGTTGATTTTTGGGTAAAAGCTGGAAACGTTTTCCATGATTTAATGGGTTGTCGAAGTCGTAGACTTGATCAAATACGTTTGAAGTTTCGCGATATGAGGATTAAATGCCGTGTGTCCGATGAATATATAAATTTGTTATAAACAACGTATATGAAGGTGAGTCGTTTGTTGTAGTCATACATCAATATGAAGACACAAATCACAAACTGTATAAACACATCAAAGCTTGGCTAAAACTTAAGGATTTCCCAAAATTGACTGCTTAAAAATGAGTTATTTTTATTTTTTTATTGAAAAAAAAAACTAGTTTAAATTAATGTAATGTTTTTTTTATTGTTATTGTTATTTTTTATTTTAATTAATGTAATTTTTTAAAAATGTAATGTGATATTTTAATTTAATGAAAAACTTATATTAAAAAAATATTTTTTTTATGTATTTTTGAATTAAATTTAATTAAAAAAATAAGAAGAATGACGTGCTTAATAGTAGGTATCTCATTGTTATTGGTAGAGGGTGTGATGATGATGTTACACCTGGTTAGAACTTAAAAGTTAGTATCACGAAAGTGTTCACATCAGAGTTAGAACTCGAGACCTTCAATTTAAAACACAACTTTTTACCAAATGGACTAGTCTCGTACCATTATAATAATTAAGGATAGATATAACAAAAAACTTAATACATCATTAATACGGGAAAATGACTTAAGAGACCATCGAAGTTTCAAATTCGTTCGAAAAAAAGCATTCAAGTATTACATGTTCAAAAAACACCATCAAACTAAGATATATGTTCAAAAAACACCAACGAAGTACATGTTCTGTTCAAAAAACACCATCTCTAAGGTTTGGGGTAACTTACATATTTGGTCCTTAAGTTTTTTTCTTAACTCGGACAGTCCCTTTAGTTTAAATTTGCTTCGACTTTGGACCCTGATCAAGTTAAAAGATTAATATACCCTTACTACTTTCATTTATTATTATTTTTATTGTTTATTAATTATTTATACAATTTATGTTATTATTTATTTTAAATATAAATTGTATAAATAATTAACAAGTAATAAAAATAAATGTTAAATGAAACTAATAAGGGTATATTAGTCTTTTAACTAGATCATTGTCCGAAGGAAAAATAAATATAAACGCTAGGGACCGTCCGAGTTAAGAAAAAAAGTTAAGGGCTAAACATGTAAGTTACCCCAAATCATAAAGATGGTGTTTTTTGAATAGAATATGTACTTCGTTGGTGTTTTTTGAACAAAATATATACTTCGAACAAAATATATACTTCGTTAGTGTTTTTTGAATATATATCTTAGTTTGATGATGCTTTTTAAGCATATAATATTTGAATGGTGTTTTTTAAACAAATTTAAAACTTCAATGATCTTCCAAGTCATTATCTCCGTTAATATTAAATGTACAATTACAATTCAAAATTGTATTGTTGGTTTAGTCCAATTTGTTAGTTTGTTGGGAACAAAGCGACCTAAAACCTGATGAAGTTGATCTTTAACGAAGCTGGCTGGTCATGCCATCGCAGGTGATCTAACCCCCAATCCAAATAGGCTGTGCCATCCACCTGTGGGTCCATCCCACTTTTTTTGAGCTGTATGAGGATGGGTCCCACTCCACTGATTTTATTGTTGGTTAATATTATCATTTATCACCACTCTGTCTTTCTTCACACACCCCAAAACCCACACACACAGCAGCTACCGAGTAACAGTCACCAACAACCATCCTGAATGCCTCCAGGTTCTTATCTGTAATTAAGAATCTTTTCTGGATCTCCATTAATGCTTTCTGCATAGCTGACGATTATATGCATCGGTGAGTTGAGATCTGCATTTTCTAAACTCTTTCTCATAGATCACAGCCATGCCTGGTTTAGTTTCAGTGAAAACGCCGCCACGAATCACCATACCTGAAGACAGCCCCAGCCAGAATCACCAGATCCGCCCGACCCCCGAACGTGCTGACTCGATTAACACCAAAACAACCTCACCGGCACAACGGAGACCTCCGTCTCCGTCTCCTTCGTCCTCACGCGCGAAGCCGTCGCCAGATCGGGGATCTGGAAAGAAGAAATCGCCAGAGAAACATTCTTTACTTGATGAGTCGTCGCTGGACAACCCCGATCTAGGCCCCTTCCTGCTGAAGCTCGCGCGTGACACGATCGCGTCTGGAGATGGCCCGAGCAAGGCTCTGGATTATGCGCTCCGAGCATCCAAGTCGTTTGAGCGCTGCGCTGTCGAGGGTGAACCGAGCCTTGATCTGGCTATGTGCTTACACGTTGTTGCAGCTATTTACTGCAGTTTGGGGAGGTTCGAGGAAGCGATCCCGGTGTTGGACAGGGCAATTAAGGTCCCCGAAGTTTCAAGAGGTGCAGATCACGCTCTAGCGGCATTTTCGGGGTATATGCAATTGGGTGATACTCATTCGATGCTAGGGCAGCTTGATCGCTCCATCGAGTGTTACAAAGAAGGGTTAAAAATTCAGATGGAGGCCTTAGGCGACACAGATCCAAGAGTTGCCGAGACTTGCAGGTGAAATTCCTTTGAACCCCTTCAACTACACTATGTGCTTTTCAATTCCTTTGAGTTCCATCTATTGCTTAGCTTAGCTTATTCCAATCACGAATTATTGGAAAACACAATCAGAATTCAAATTGCTGGAGCTGTTTATGATTCAGATGTACACAAACTGTGCATACTTTTTGAATGCTCCAAATTTTTTCAACTCATGTTTTTCTGACTTGAATCCTGTAGATACTTAGCAGAGGCCCATGTCCAAGCAATGCAATTTGAGGAAGCAGATACCTTATGCAAAAGAACCCTAGAAATCCACAGGGTACACAGCCCACCTGCATCTCTAGAAGAAGCAGCTGACAGACGTCTAATGGCACTGATATGCGAAGCAAAAGGAGACTACGAAGCAGCTTTAGAACACCTTGTCCTCGCCAGCATGGCCATGATAGCAAACGGACAAGACAACGAAGTTGCAGCAATCGATCTGAGCATAGGCAACATCTACTTATCCCTCTCCCGTTTTGACGAAGCCGTGTTCTCATACCAAAAAGCACTCACAGTCTTCAAAGCTTCAAAAGGCGACAACCACCCATCAGTGGCCTCTGTTTTCGTCCGCCTTGCTGACCTGTACTACAAAACCGGAAAGCTAAGAGAATCAAGATCATATTGTGAAAACGCCCTCAGAATATACGCAAAACCTGTCCCTGGAACAACCCCAGAAGACATTGCTAGTGGAATGACTGAAATCTCAGCGATTTATGAATCCTTCAATGAACCCGAAGAGGCTTTGAAGTTGTTGCAGAAATCAATGAAGCTTTTGGAAGATAAGCCAGGTCAGCAGAGTACGATTGCAGGAGTGGAAGCGCGTATGGGGGTCATGTTTTATATGGTGGGAAGATATGAAGAGGCGAGAGGAGCTTTTGAAAGCGCTGTTGTGAAACTTAGGGCTAGTGGTGAACGAAAGTCTGCTTTTTTTGGAGTTGTTTTGAATCAAATGGGTTTGGCTTGTGTGCAGTTGTTTAAGATCGATGAAGCTGCAGAGTTGTTTGAAGAAGCGAGAGAGATTTTGGAACAGGAATCTGGTCCTTGTCATCAAGATACACTTGGCGTCTACAGCAATCTTGCAGCAACTTATGATGCTTTGGGGAGGTAAGTAAAAAGTATTCTACTCATTTTTAATCAGATAATTTTACAACACTAAATATGTTGATGATATATTTGAATATTATATACAATAGAGTGGAAGATGCGATTGAGATATTGGAGTATGTTCTTAAACTACGAGAAGAAAAGTTGGGAACAGCGAATCCTGATTTCGACGATGAAAAGAAGAGGCTTGCAGAGCTTCTGAAAGAAGCAGGTAGGTCACGCAACAAGAAAGCAAAATCATTGGAAAACCTGATTGATCCAAACTCCAAGAGAACAAAGAAAGAGACAACTTCCAAGAAATGGTCTGCTTTTGGTTTTAGAAGTTGATCAAATCAAACAACAATTCATTTCTTTAAAATATTCTATCTAATTACCACTCTACTATTATAGAAGCTTGTGTTTATGTCTGTCATATTGTGTATAATAGTGTTTCTTCTCATTTTCCCACATCATTCGATTCACGCCTTTTTTTTTTTTTTTTTTCGTTATTGTTGTTGTTGGGGATTTGACTCTTTGAGTTTGTTTTCTGAATTTGTTGTAAGGAATGGAATATATCTTTATTTCTGATTTCTGTCTCGATTAATTAAGTCTATCTTCTTTTACTTCTTATGTAGAAAAAACTTTCCTTATTTTTGGGCAAGGATCTTTAAAGCAATTTCACACCAAAATAAAGTTTCATACTGCCAAGAAAATATATAGTTTTAGGTTGAGATATATGTTACAAAAGAAAATTTGGTGTAAATATTATATTAAAGGGATAATGACTTGAAATTGTAACATACTCTAAGCTTTGTATATATTTGGTCATTTAACTTTTTTTTTTGTGCACTGTTAACTCTTAAACTTGTTTATTTTTTTAACATACCATGACCGGCCATTGTAGATTTAGCCGGTCAAGTTGAACTTTCTGGCAAAAATATGGATTTTCCGGCAAAAATATGAATTTTCTTGTGAAACTGTGGACACATCTGATGAAAGTATTCATGGAATGCAACCTGAAATCGAACCCTAGGTTCGTGTTCTTGTTCTTGGAAAGATTTTTGAAACCTTAGAAATCAAAAATCAAAGCTAATGAACAACTTAAACTCACAGTTGTCATGAAAACCGAATCAAGAAAAAGGCCTCATCAAAATTTAAAGTTGATGAAAGGGGATGGTCTTCATTTTTTGTTTGGACAACCTCTTCAAAGGCAAATTCTTTTTGGTTGTTTGTAATCTGTCAAAGACAAAGCATCACTATTCATCATCTCCATTAACGAACGTGCAACACCTTTGGATACCATCACAACCATCAAAAATCATCACCACTACTACCATCAAGCACCACCATCTTTGCCTTCGTCTTCAACCTCAATTATCGGAACCACCTTCGTTTTCCACAGTTGAGAACACCACCCTCAATATCCATCCTAAACCTACCGTAAACCACCACCAAACTCCACTTGTTACCTCTCACACCTCCGTCACACCTCCACTTATGTCTTCGTCTACCATCAGTCAACACCCACCATCATCTTACCTTCACCGAAAAACCATTGCCCTCTTGTTCAAGCAAAAACTTTAAAAATCGATTTCAATTTTTGATTTCTCACACACAAACACCATGTGAAATCAAGTTCATCCATGGCAAATTTCGATTTCATCCATGGCAGTTTCGAGTTCACATATGGTAGATTTTAGGTCTTGTTTCTAGAACCATTCATCTTTATCGAGTTTAACTCAAACACACATCTGGTAAAGAATTTTGTTTTTGAAGAAACCCTAAATTGAACCCTAACTCATTTCTGGCGATGAACAAACTCTAACAAGAATCAAATATTTGAATCATTTTGTGTATTTGTGTTCTTCAACGAGGAACACATACAAAAACTCATGAATATGGAAACAAAAGATAAGAAAGAGAGAAACAATAAATCTTAAAAATGTATCAAGAACTCATCTCGCTGGAAAATCTATTTTGACCAGAAAAGATGACCAGGAAAATCATAATCGGACGGAAAAACGTCAGAAACCGGAAAAACCCTTTATTACCGGTCATAATGGTATGCTTTAAACAAAAAAGCAAGTTTAATGGTTAACAATGCACCTAAAAAAAGTGAAGTGATCAAATATATACAAATAATATAGTTGGTTACTCTTTCAAGTCATTATCCCTATATAAAAAATACGTTAATTGTGATGGACCAATTTCCCTATGGATAGTGCATTTCTTTGGGGTTGTTTGTTTTTTTCCCCAGAAAAACCACTTCTGGCTATGTCGTGCAGCACAAGCGCAACAATTGACCTTGCACAATTGTTGTCTGTTAGAAAACTTCGAACTTAAAAAATTGTTGTGCGTGTGCTGCACAACACTGGACTATCATCTTCAAACCACTTCTTACTTTACTTTAAGTTATATTATTCAACATAAATTTGTTTTAATTTTTTTTCAACAACATATTTATTGTTTTAATAATATTACGAATGATATTATGAAGAATTTGAGTATATTTTACATAAATTCAAATAATTTCAAACCGTTTGGTAGATTCCATATAAAATACTTTTTTTGTATTACATTGTCCATAACCAAATATTAATAAATTATAAAGTTTACACTATAATTATTAAATTTATTGAAGTTAACAGGAAAAATAACCACTGTCTTTGAAGATTTAACAAAAATGGATTTGTTTTTCACTAAGTTAACAATTTTATTTATTTTAATTTAGCAAATATTATGTTTAATTATTTTATATAAAAGTCTTTAAAAATCATATCATCATAATGATCTATATATTTGATTTTCATATGAGTAAACTAAATAAAATTTTGATTTAGAATTATTTTAACTATTATAGAGTTAATTCCAATTTATTGCAGCAACATGCAAATATTAAAAACAAACAAACTTCTTGTTACAAGTTGCAACGATTTGTTTCACCTCTTTTTCTACAGAAGTTGCAAATGTGATCTGTAGACTTTAAGGGGTCGTTTGGTTCGCTGGAATCTGTTGGAATTGGAAGGAATTGGATTTTAATTCCATCACTTTCCTATGTTTGGTTCAAGTTTTGAGAAGAAATTGGATTCCTAAATATGTCCAACTTTCCTTTCATTGAGGGAAAATAAATTACATCTAAAAGATGAGGAAATTCAAATTCCATCAAGTGAGAGTGTTGAATATTACCATATTACCATTTTCATTTTTAACATTAAATATGAAAAACCTCTATCACTACTGGCGACCACCTCCACCACAACCTTCGCCACCACTACCCACCACCACCTACCCACACCCCCACCACCACCAACCATCCTCACTAATGACGTCGCCACTGCCACCACCTTCTACACCACCACCCACTGCTTCCGTTACCACCATCACCATCGTTGACACCATTACTATCACCACCGTCACCACCACTACCCAGAACATTCGTTACCACCTACACCACAACCCTACCACTACCGTAGTTACTACTAACTCTATCATCACCACCATCACCTCTATTTCCACCACCACCACCACCGTCACCGCCACCTGCACCCACCACCACCACCACCGCCGCCACTAACACCCACCGCCACAACCACCACTATCTCTAAGATTAACACTAGTGATGTCACTACTACAACCACCTCCACCTTCATCACCACCACACATTTCCACCATCACCACCATCGCCGCCACCACCACCACCGTTTACTATTTTTATAATTTATATAATATATTTTTACATATAATTATAAAAAAGTAAAAGTAAGCAAAAACCAAAAATAGTAGTTCTATCATTTTACACTATATAAATTCCATTTTCCGCCAACCAAACAAAATATAATATTGAATTCAAATTTTATTTAATGCTAACCAAACAAAATATTGAATTAGATTCCAATTCAAGACAAATTACAATTCCTTCAAAAACATTCTATGAACCAAATGTCGCCTAAGTGTTTCCACTTCGAAAAACCAAACATCTTAGAGTTATTTCTTAGCATATAAAAGGAAGATGACTAATTGAGTCATTTTATTTTTATTTTAAGGCAACGAAGGTTTGATTATCTAAATCGTAGTAGTATGTAAATCCCATGGAACTGGACCTTATCCGATATGATGTTTTAGCTAAAGGTCTATTTTTACCGACCATAGTTTTATAGTAAAAGTTGATATGTACGATGAAAGTTGTATGTTTCTTTCTAGTTTGATCAAAGAGAAAAAGACTTATGTAGCTTTTTTTTTTTTTTTTTTTTTTTTTTTTTTTGGGTTATATTATCATTTATCTATGCAACAAAGTTATATTCTTTTTCTATTTTATAAAGTGTAGTTATTTTTTTTATCAGTTTACGTAATTATCTTTTAATTTCTTAGCAATTCTTTGACCAATTTATTCAATCAATTGAAGTTAACACATGGTTATATAAATTTATAAGAAACAATATAGTTTCATTGTGGACTAAGCAACCAAGGGACTTAGAATTTGTACAAGGAATGAAGAAAGGTTATAATATATACAACCATTACTTCATTTTCATTTGAACTAAGACGAATTATATTATATTAATAAATTATATGGGAGACGGTAGATAAAAATTCCAATGTAGCGGGTACAACTATTTTAGTAAGGTGACAACTTTCGACCCAACCTGTAACCTGACGATGCAATCCGAAAATAATCGTATTTGGGTTGAGGTTTTTGATCTGCCAACCTTCTAACCGGTTTATTTCATGGGTTTGATTGGGTTATCTGTTTGGGTTCGAGGGTCAACCTTATATATATATATATATATATATATATATATATATATATATATATATATATATATATATATATAAATAAAAGTTCAATAGAAAACCATAATTATTGGTTCTCTAAGGAACCAATTTTTTTTTTTTAAAGTTCTAGAGCTTATTCTTTATAGAAAAAAAAAAATACTAAAAATATCTAAATTCATAAGTTAATATTGTGAATGTTAAATATATTTTTCGGATTTACCGTGTGAATTTAGATTTACATTTTGAATTTTCAAAGATTCACATTGTGAATTTGACGAAATTTTTTTTTATCAAATTTGATATCATTGGAAAAATGATAAAAAATTATGAATTTATGTATTTTTAGTTGTTGTTGGTTTTTTTTTTTTTTTTTTTTTTTTTTTTTTTTTTTTTTTTTTTTTTTTGATAAAAAATAAGTTCTAAAAGTTGTAAAAAAAGATTGGTTCCTTGGTTTATTGGTTAATTATGGTTCTTTATTAAACATCACTATATATATATATATATATATATATATATATATATATATATATATATATATATATAAAGAAAGAGAGAGAGAGAGAGAGAAAGAGAGAGAGACACACACACTAATAAAAGAATAGTTTTAATTTTTTTTTACCATGTATCACTCTAATACATCTCCAATTAACATTATGTCATGAGTCAATGAGATATATTAGGTAAATTATTATAACAATTAATGAGGTTAAGGTTTTAAATAATAGATTTTAAACTTTTATATAAACATTTAGTATTTTAATTATATGTTAAATTTGAATTTATAACT